GCTAAGTTTTAAATTTCTGGCGTCCAATGTAACTAGATGCACAACATGGGTGACCAGAAATTTAAATTTAAATTTAAACGTCCCTGCATCGTCAGCATTTCTCTCGGTGTATAATCATGAGCAACATTTGTTGTATTTTGTCTTCTTACCCTGAATATATATGATTCCATCAATAAAAAAACATTATTTAATCTGAAGAAGTCATTTTGAAGGACGAAACGTGTCACATAGGACCTTTTCTACCATTTTGTTATTCAATTAACCATTATTATATTACAATGCTAATATTTACTGCAAAAAATGGTTCGGATTTCAAGAAAGGAGCCAGGAATAAAATACATCTATTATCCCTTTGAGCCCTGCATTCCTGAACAATTTGAACCCTCCTGCCTGATCTCCTGAGTCAAAATTCGCAAATAATTGGTATGTAATGTTTCACGGTAGATATAAAAATAGTTACAAGTTAACCGTTTGAGATATAGGAAAGGTTGTGACTGTTCTAATTAATTACAACATTCACAAACTTCCACAGGCTCTGAGTTATGACAGTTCAAATCTTATATTCTTCATATCGTTGAAAAAGTACACGGACGTATTCGAGAATTTTCGAGAATTTTTGAATCAGGCTGACTCCGTGAGCAAATTAAAAACATCTCGGGCCGGATTTCCAAGTTTTCATTACTTCCAATGTTTTCGGATCCCGCCATCTTGGCTTCTATTGATAAAAAACAAATCCGCCATTAAAATCTATCTTTTCTTGCTTCAATTCAGTCAAAAATTTAATATATAATAAATATCAATTTTATCATTGTTGACACTATCATTTTGTTGAGTTTTTATTCTTGAAATTTTGTTAACCGGCCTATTAAATCTCTCTCTGTCTCTGTCTCTGTATATATATATATATATATATATATATATATATATATATATATATATATATATATAATATATAAAGCATTTCACCCTAAGCAAGGCGGGAGTGCCATTAGCACGCAAAAGGTTAGAGGGAGTGAAAGTAAGAGTAAAGAGGGGGTGTTTGAGGAAAGGATAAAGAGAAGGACGGGGATAAAGTGCTCGATACAGTAAATAGAGCAGACCTAGTTAAACCTAAAGAGCCAGACAAACCTACCAAGGTTTCACCTAAGCGGATCGTCAGGGAAGGCTGGGGTATATAGGGTGATTGAAAAGTAATTTTCAAATACTTATAATTTATTTATTAACTGTAATTTTTACAAGAAATGGATATGAGAGAAAGCGTTTAGCATGAGATTTTAATTCAAATTCAGTATGAATAGCAGATTTCGCTCTCAGCTTCTAGGGTCGCCCAAGAATCGAGAAAAATGATTTCACCAGGAACTCTTGTGATATGGAAGACATAACTTCTTGTATTCGTCCTTCATGTTCTTCCAAAGTCTTGGTTTGGTATCGTAGACTTGTTCCTTTAACAAACCCTAAAGAAAAAAATCAGAGGGTGTTAAATCAGGACTCCTGTCTGGCCACTCATCCATAAAATAGGGAGTTACTTTTCAATCACCCTGTATATACAATGTGCGATGGATAAATTGTCATCAAATTTACGAAAAAATAAAAATATCACTGACATCTTATTTTTAAGATATATTTACTAAAATTACGCAAAAATATCTTGAAATACTAAAGGGTAAATTTATGCAATAAAATCCCCATTGTTTTCAACGACGGCCCTCGGACAACTTCGAAATCTCGTACAACTCTTCGGGACGGTCTCCTTATTTAACTTGGCGAATGCTGCCATAATCCTTGCTTTCAGTTTATCTTTGGTGTTACAAGGAGCGGCCCACATATAATAATCAAGGGGGTTGCAGACTGGAGCGTTAGATGGTCAGATGTAAGGGTGATGTGGTCGCAGAAATTATCTGACAGCCATTACTGGATTCTTCTGTTTGTGTGGCATGGTGCATGCAGTACAGCATGCCGTTTCCAAATTTCTGGCAGAGGGAATTGAGTCATGGCGCTATTTTTCTCACAAAAGGTGCCTAACTGAACCTACTATACTGTGCAGTAGACAAAATCAAAAGACAAACAACGCGCATGCTCGAAATTAAAAATATAAAATGGCGATAATTTACCCATCTCACCCTCTGTGTGTGTCCTGTCTCGTTGCTTTTTCGCGTGTTTATATATCTAAATACGTCTGCGTGTTTATGTATTATAATCTGATTGTGTATGTATTGTCTTTTGGAAGATTTCATCCTCCCCTGCCCATGTCTTCACTCCAAATGTATCTACGTTGTCGCGGAGTTCAGAGAAGCATTAGATTTTAACATTTATTCCAACTTAATTTCAATTAAAACAAAATAAACAGAAAAAAAAACATGTATTTTTTTCCTCAGTTTCTTCTTTAAATAAATTTATAATTTTAAACTTAATACAGATTAAATTTAAAATTTAAAATTGGTAATTTTTAATTTTATAGTATAATTTAATATTTATTAATTAGAATGAGTGCTATTTTAGTCTAACCCTAACATTAAACTATTAAATAATTATTATAACCATAGTTCGTTGTCAAGTTATTGTAACAGCGCTTCCCCTAGCGAGGGGTGTTTGATTGATTTGAACCTTTTAAAACCCTTTATTCTACATTCAACACCATCACTTGATAAGACACCAGAGGAGTTGAAACAAAATGGCTATTTTTTTAGTTATTTTATAACATATTTATGTTATAATTTTTGTATAAATAATTATATTTGCTCTAATCTGTATTGAGCACTCTTTTAAGAATAGCATTTGTTGGTTATTGGAATTTATTCCGTATACACCTATCCTATACTTAGGTATATATATATATATATATATATATATATATATATATATATATATGCTACTATTTCAGTCCTAATTTTAGCATCTATTTTCACAAGCTTTTAACTTTCTGTTTCCCTCTGTCGCCATTCCCTTCAGTATGTCATGTGAATGTCAAACTCTCCACGCCGTCTTCCTCGTTATGTGTCCTTAGGAATTACAGTTGTCTCTTTTTCATTCCAAGCATAAGTGTCCTTTTTGCCTCCATTTTCTTTCAAATTTCCTCCCATGATATTCTCAACATCCTTCTGTAGAACCATGTCCTTTTTTGTCTGAAGTTTCCCCTTCATCCGTGAAGAAATTGTACAGGATTCACTTTTATAGGGTGACCGACAAAAAAACTATTTACTATATGATGAAAAAAATTAACTAACATATAAAAAAATAACTATATACTTTACTATATGTGACACTATTTAGCTATGCTAATTGGCTAAACTAATTAAGCGTGGAAATTAAAAGCGAGAAATACTTAAGGCGAGAAGAAGCTATCACGAAAGACATACTGAGCGATGTTATTTTATTTTCATTTGCGAAGAAAAGTATTTTTTTCACAGAAGATAGAAAATTCGTAAGATCTCGGATCTGTCAGAATTAATTTATGCTATGACGCAGCGAGGAACAGTAGACTGCGAATAAAAGATAGCAATCTGCCCATGGCAATAATGAAAATTTCAAATTGGTCAAGAGGCTTACAAAGCGGAATGCTAGAAGATAATCGGAAATTGGGTCAAGCATGCGACCGAGAAAGAATTAGCTGAGACCACCCCAAAGAAAAAGGAAGGAAGAAGAGAAAAAGGAAAAGAATAAGCCATTAACTATCTTTCGGAGATATCATTTGGTTTTGGAATGGAACCACCTGTTTTATGTCCAGACCTTGCCATGATAAAAGTTTGTTACCTGGACAGACTGTTGGCAACAGAGTGCGAAGACGTTGAGGAAGACAAAGAGATTCAGTTGACACCCCAGATAATAACTTGGCGAAAATCCCGTTGATGAATTCCAGATGACATCAAATAAATATTTAATGACCAGAGTACGATTCGTAGGGGTTCTAGTCGGTGGATAAGAAAGAAAAGAAAAAGGAAGATAATTTTTTTTCTTTGAGCGATAATTGTAAACTGAGGCCAGTCTAACCACACTCACACTGCCGAGCGTTCATTGGCTGAATGGTGGCGTGAGCGATGGGTGAAGGTAAACATATGAGAAAGAAGGGAAACCTGTTGATGCCATCTGAAGGGATTGGTGTGAGATACCAATTTGAGAAGGGAAGAGTTTGGGAGGACAATTCCCTTAAGAACTCCTCTAAAACAGAAAGTAATTGACTTCCAAAAATAGGAAGTGATAAATTTTCCTGTCCGAAAACAAAGAAAATCCTTATTGCGGATTTGGAATTATCGAGGAACCCAAACCACGACAGACCCCCACTCGGTTTTGGTCGGCGTCCATATAAACGAACATTCCCAGAGCAAGTGAGGCAGACAGAGAAACGCAGACGCAGACACAGTTGGGGCAGTCACAACACGGTTGGTGACAGTTGGAGTGACAGAGTTGAGCTGTGAGCTCGGAGACCAGCTTCGCAAGAGCTGACTGAAAGATTTCCACGCATTCCGACTTAGACTTCTAACCAAAATAATTTTTTTTTTTTTTTTTTGAAGAACGACCACCAAAACAAGTTTTATGAATATCGCCTGAAGATACCAAAAACCAGTTTATTGAAAAACAACTTAAGATATTAAGACTCACCTAAGAAACGCAAAGTGTCACGTATCCATAAAAGCGGTTTGGGAGAAAGATGCAGTCCTGTATTTAGAAACCAGATATAAAGATACTTGTTATTCTTTTTTTAACACATTTGAATCTTTCGAGTTGTGACTTTATTTTCTTTTACATATACTTGTGCGGTATCACCTTTGCCCAGATTTCGGCTTGCACTACGGCCCGACACCTCATTGATTTCGTCTACCTAAGATCAAATCACAACATGGGTAGGTTAGACTAGAAATCAAAGCAGTTACTTCGGTAACCAGACGTTGGAGGCGAGCTGGGAACGACAAGGCTGATATCGAATCTAACCAGATTTCCATCCGAATCAGCCAAGTGTTAGATCGTCACAGGATAGCACGGGAGGACCAGGGTAACGTCACAATATGAATGAAGTAAAAAAAAATTACACATAAAAAATAACTATTGTACATTATGAATGAAGTAAAAAAATTAACATATAAAAATTAACTATATACTTTACTATATGAAAAAAGTAAAAAAAATAACTAACATATAGAAAAATAACTAAATACTTTACTATATGAATGAAGTAAAAAATTAACTAACATATAAAAAAATTAACTATTTTACTATATGAATGAAGTAAAAAACTTAACTAATATCTAAATTTTTTAACCATTTGTTGTTCTAAGATGCCGCAGTTATCAAATTTTCAAGAAAGAACATCAATATTTGAGTTCTTTAGTTTGAACACATCTAAAATAAGCGACTAAATTTCTATCCTTTGCTTTTATTTCAAATAACTGTAAAAAAAAAATTCCAGCAATTAGATAAACTCTACCAAATTTCCTGTTTTTTGTGGGCCACCATGTATATAGGATGATAGATATTACATCACAGTTTAGCAATCTTTTCCTTTCTTTCTAAAAATGTTTCTGTTTCTTAATATTTTGCTTAGCTTTTCGAAGGCAACTTTCATTATTCTGATGTAAGAAATGAGATATTACCCCGCAATTCAACACTGTTTTCTTTGATTCTAACGGAATTTTCCTGTTTCTTAATACTTTGTTTAACTTTTAGAAGGCATTTTTCTCTATTCCAATGCGTACTTCGGATTTCGGTGTCACATTTTCAGTCTTCTGTTAAAACACTTCCCAGATCGTTAAATTTCTGTATTTGCATGATTCTGACTTCTGACAAATATCTAGCTCGTATCTTAGGCTGTTTCGCTTCCCAACGACCCCGCCCCCTCCCACAGACAAAACGCCTCTACTCTATCGCTATATCCATGGCAAGTGTTCTGACGAGATACGTTCTTTAGTTTCGGCAGTCCTAACCTTTGCAATTAAGACCCATCATGCCACGTACACGCGGATTAATCATTCTCATTTCCTTCGTATTCCATTAGTAAGGAGGAAGTTTCATTTCAACAGCTTCTTCCCAAGAGCCGCTGCTTTATGGGGCACACTCCCGAGAGAATACTTCCTCGATCACTACAATCTTAGCCTCTTCAAGTCTAGTATCAATTGTTACGCGTCAGCATAATCTTCACTTACAACCCTACGCCCATACAACAACCTTATTTAATAAACCGTTACCTTGAGTGGTTTGGGGTCCTTGTATTGCGAGAACATCTGGTTCTACTGACGGATGCAAGGGAATATCACGGACAGGACATGTGAGTAATTGGGAAGTCTTATGAACAATAGGATCAACAAAATCAGACAGAAACACATGAAATTTCTGATCACCTAATGAGGAAAGATGACCTTGTGAATTTGATACTCACATGGCAAACGAAGCATGGAAAATCGGTGTGTAGCCTACTTAGTGTAGCTTACTAGTTTATATGAATAGATGGCAGAGTGGAGACAAAATAGATAGGTAAAGAGTTAAAAAATACCTAAAGCAGCAGAAAAAAAAGAAGCTATGGTGAGATTAACTGTTATCTTTCCGACATAACCTCATAAACTGTACTTCTTACCTTTCTTTACACTCATGCAACACCACACAGTAACACTCTACTTTGAGTGGCTCTTGAGCTCTGTATTGGCTGAAAATTAGTAAAAAGAAAAACATAGATCCACTCTTCTCGCATTTGGCAATTAGTCCTATATTTCTCTCTCTGTCTTTGGGGTCTCTCTCTCTCTCCTCCCTTCTCTCTCCCCCCCTCTCTCTCTCTCCCTCTCCCCTCCCTCTCTCTCCTCTCCCTCTCCTTCTCCCTCCCCCTCCTCTCTCCCCTCTCTCCCTCTTCCCCTCTCTCTCCCTCGCTCTCTCTCCCTCGCCCCTCTCTGTCTCTCTTATTTACCTTTGCAATGATGTTTCTAAGGCTCAAATTCGATGCAAGTTCTGAGGGGTGAATCAAAGAAAAAGAAAACGATCACAAATGAAAATAAACCGGAAATAATAAAGCAATCGGAAAGTGAAATGTCATAGGTCATCGGAAAATCGTTAGACTTCAGTCGGTCAACGATCAAAAGAAAGAATAAAGTGAGATTAACAGAAACTTTGAAAGAGGTTGCACCAGTTATTACTTAGCAACGCGGTAGTTTAATTACTAAAAGGGATTAAAGGAGATTATCAGTATACTTAGACCGTAAACTTTACTTTGATATCCCGGAAAGAATCGAAACGTTTTGTTGTGAGTGCCACACAGAGCAAGCAAGATTTGAACATAAACTTAAATTAGTGCTCACGAGTATAATTGAGATCAAATAATATCTTTCCTACTGGGTAAATAGTTTTTGTGATAAAAATGAAGTGTCCTCTTATCGATACAGAAACAACAGAATTAGAAGAGTGAATGTACTTCGTCGCACTCAGATTCCTCAGTGAGGCAGGCCCGCACGTGGCAGTGAGATTTTGGCCAACTGGTTGACATGGATCCTCTCAATCATCTCCCTCTCTCTTCCTCCGAGAAACAATGTTACCACTACCGCCATTTATAACATAAAACGGAAAGAAAAGTGATAGGTGTTCATTTAGCTTATGTTGTAAGGGTTAGAGTCCGAAGAATTGAAGCTAGTGCTGACACGAACGGAACAGATACTCGTTGTATCCGGACCCTGGTTCCACTTGACCAAAAACAAAATCACAGTTGACAAGTGACAGTTGATCGAAATGATCTCTCCAACATTACTGAAAAGACCTCTTTTCACAGAAAAAAAGTTCGTTTACTTTAAAGAATTGAAATAAACTGTCAGTCCTTAAAAATTAGATAAGACATGGAAACGTTCAAGTCAATCTGCAGAAGATTCAAATTTATTGGTTTTGGTTTCACCTTCAATAAAAGCAAGACGTGGGCTGGACAAAGAGACACCTCACTACGGTCAGCCAAGTCCGCCATGTTAATAAAATAAACATGTGCTTTTGATATCATTTATGTAATCGCAGGCCATCGGTTGGTAGACATCGATAGATGCATGTCGTCACACAACTCTACAGTTTGGTCGACACGAAATCTACCAACGTCGAAGAGAAAACGTGTTCTTTTGACACTTAAGATGGCCGACAGATCCGTCTTTGAGAAGAAGTAAAAATGTAAACACTACAACTCAATGCCTCGAAAACTAAGCTAGTTAAGAACTATCATTGCTGATCTGACCCCGAACTACAACCAATCAAGATGAACGGACGTCCTCTTGGGGAAGCAGCGTGCCTTGAAAGACAGTTGGGCCTCAAATGCACACCCGACCTCAAGTGGAACTCGTACATACGATCCTGCTAAGGATGCAGGTAAAATGATCGGCTCCCTGTAACGCTCCAGTACCTGACCCCTCCTGCTTTCCTCTGCCTTTACAAGAGCCAGATCAAGCCAAAAATAGAGTACTTTTTGTGATAGTTGGGTGAGAGATGCCCAGACGTCACTCTCCAGCCTTGACAGAGTTCAAAAGCGTCTGCGAGTCCTTGTGCGTGACGAACTATTCTCCATCCTTCAACCTCTCTCTCTCATAGGCGGGATGTGGCAAGCCTCTCCCTGCTTTACCGCTACTTCCACGGAAAGTGCTCGGACGAACTACATTCCCCGGTCCCACCGAGGCAAACCTTCACGGCAAGAACCCGCCATGCCACTTACATCGTAGCAAACCACCCACATTCCCTCAATATTCCATAGGTGAGAACGAAGTTCCACTCGGACAGCTTCTTCCAACGAACCACTTCCCTGTGGAACCGACTCCCAATAGGATGCTTCTCCGATCACTATAATCGTAACCTATTCAAGGCTAGGGTTAATCGTCACCTTCCTCACAAATGGCCTCCTAATGTAACCTTCTACCTCGAGCGGACTTCGGCCTTGTAAACAGTGACTCTCACAGTAAAAAAATAAATAAATTATCGTTCCCCCAATATACGAACGAGACGAAAAAAAAAAAGGAAATCGTTGAATCTGTGATTAATTATTTTATCTGTTATTGTCACTTTAGCACGTTGACAATAATGGCTTTTCAAGTTTTCCTCCTCTTTTAATGTCATGACTTCTTTAGAAAGATATTAAAATGCTTTTCCGTTGTCTTCTTCCCGATTTTGAATTCAAAGTTACTTTTCTCAAACTGGTTTCCACCCACAGCTAGAGGACTCTACTCGGCTATTTTGGTCAATCGAGAAATGGAACCAGGCATTTCTCAAAGGCACTGCTGCTAATGCAACAGATTTGGTTGTAATTTCAACACAACTCACCGATTTCAATTTCCGCACTTGTTTTTTTTCTTTTTCCTTCATTTTCTTTTCACTCTGTCCTTCCTTCATTTTTATTCAATTCTTCATTTTTCTCTCTTTTGTTCTTGTTTTTTCCTTCTTTCTTTTTTGCTTCATTATTCTTCATTCTTTCTTTTATTCTTTCTTTCTTCCATGTCTCTTTTTCACTTTTACTATCATCGTTCCCTTTTCTTCACTTTTTCTTCATTCTTTTTCAGTCTTCTTCTCTCGTTTACGCGCTTTTCTTCATTTATTCTTTCTATTGTATTTCCATTTTCACTTTCTTTCTCTTGCTTCTCCTTTCTCACTCTTTTCTTCATCTTTTCTCTCTTTTGTTCTCTCTTTTTTTTTCTTCATTATTTTCATTCTTTCCTTCTTCTCGTTTTTCTTTCATTTTTCCTTTCAGTTTTTTTCCTTTATTGTTTAGCCTCACTTTTCATTCTTTTCCATCTCACCTTTTATCTTTTTCTCACTCGCTTTTTACGTTTTCTCACCTGAAATTTTCTATCTTTTCTTGTCTTTCTTTTTTTCGTTTTCCTTTATTTTCACTACAAAATTTCCTTTCTTCTTTATCCAGTTTTTTCAACTATTGTCTTTCTTTTCTTTTTTATTTCTATTACATGCTTTCTTCCAGCCTTTTTTTATTCACTGAGATGTCATTCGCATCTCGTCTTCCTCTACTTTTTCTTCCGGTCTCATCTGATCTCGGACTAACGTGATTTTGCCATTATTTAATTATTCTATTGATGAAGAATCGTGCTGCCTCGTTACGAATATAAATTTGTTTGCAACGAGTTGCAGCAGACACATTAGTCCTTTGCTTTTGATGAAGAAAGATTAAATATGGCCGCTGTCTTGTGCATCAGTTCCAAAGAAAACCTATTTATAAGCAGCCAGTTTTGCATTTTTCTTGATCCTTTTCTCCAACTTCTGATGCCTTGATCCACGCATGCGTACGGGCAAACATACTCAGAAAACAGCGATAACAACACGTCTGTCTCATCTGCTTATATATGCCTCTTACAATAAAATATTTACATAATAAGCAAGCTTTGTTTACTATTTCAAAATGTTCCAGCGAGAATCGAACTCCCGATAGTAATATTAATCTATAAGGTTATCTTACCACTAATCTATATCGGGGTCAGTTGATAATCTAATCTACATCGGGGTCAGTCGCACTTCGTCTAGAAATGATAAGAAAACTAGGAAACTGGCGGAGTTCTTATTGAATTAGATGTTGTCTGCTCAGACGATTTTCGTATTTGGGTAAATGAATGGCAGATATACTTGTATAGGTAATTAGGGTCGTTAATTTAACGATATATTAAACCTTAGGTATTTTGTAGTTAGAATAAGAATGTTCTTTAATAAAAAGTCAGCATCCTCTATCAAGTGAGATAATGAAATTGGACAGAGAATAGACGACGCAGCAACACCACAAATTGCTACAAAATAAAAATATTAACCTAAAAACTCGAGTTATATTCTTAAACAGCCTCATCTAATCGAGACTTCCATATGAATGGCATGCATATCAACCAAACCGATCAGAAATATCGAGGCTGTCAACTGTGTACAACTGCTTTTGCAGATCAATGATTAAAATGGCTTCTAGTGAATGAACCCTGTAGGTCTTTCTTCGAACCTAATGGACTGACGCTATAAATTCACAGTACCAAATAACAGAAACCTCATCATTTAAAGACTTTTCTATCTATCTCAGTATGTTCATATCTATCTATCTTTCTCAATCTGTTCCTATCTATCTCAATCCTTTTCTATCTATCTATTTATCTATCTATCTATCTATCTATCTTACCGCATTTGGACCTACACACAGTTAATAATTAATTGTGGTATAAATATAAAATGACTTCCATTGAATATATCCTGTAGGTCTTAGAGAGGATCATCCTTCTTCGAACCTATTAGATTGGAGCTATAAATTGACTATGCTAAATAACAGAAACCCCATCATTTCATTTGATGACTTCCAACAGCAACGACAATTAAAATGGATAGCACATGTAACTAAAAGAGAAAATCATTACATAATCGTGATGCTGACGTTCCACACTACATCAAACAAAAGGTTAGGAAGGAAACTCCCATCAATACTAAAAAGAGCAGTAACAAGGAACTTGATAAGCTCATTTTCTTGAAAAATTGTTTCTATGAAAAGATTGTATAAATTTTAACCAACAGTAACACTAGCTTTTCGAATAATGAATACCGAATGTTTCCTTATAAGGAAACGGCTAACATTACCATTCCTATTAGAAATGCGAACATATACTACATTTTGATCCCATCTCGATTGCAAGGTATATAATGAATGGTTATATATATATATATATATATATATATATATATATAATGAATGGTTATATATATATATATATATATATATATATATATATATATATATATACATATATGGGCACCATTTACGAGGCAAAGAAAGGAAAAGAAAGAAAAGAAGGCAAAAGAAAGGCGAGACGAATCGTAGGTGATAAGCAGCCACACACACGGCTAAGAGACAATGAAAATATTGATAAGTAACAATGAAAAGGGTGTCATTACAATGACAGGGAATTTTCTGAGTAAAAAAAAAAAAGGGAAAGAAAGAAGGAATCAGATGTGTTTTGATAACGGCTGTGTTATCTAGGTGCGTAAACGAACGGCTGGACCACTGGCCGGGAAAATTCAAGTGAAAATGCTATTTCGATAAGTGACGAGAAACAGGCCACTAAAAAGGACTTTGGACAGATATGAAAAATTAAATGCCACACAAGCAGAGCCGCTGACCGAATTTTTTTTTCGACGAAACAACTTTGGCCTGCGATAATAAAATTATGTTATCAGGAATATGTACCGAAGGAAAATGAATGGGGACCCAGAAGTGTTTTTCTTTCTTCCTTGGAGGCGACAGACTGACTGAAAACTTTGGGGATATTTCTTTTTTGAAGCCATGTTAAGAAGACCACCCATCTTGATAAATTAGCGATAACATACCTGACAAGCACCACGTGTAAAACAAGAGTTGTCATATTGTCCGTTGCGACTAGAAGGGTGATAACGGCGATTGAAAGGAAGAAAAGGGAAAGAGAAGAGATAATTTTTTTTTAGTTAAGCAAGAAATTTTTTTTTCCCGAAACAAAGCCACGGATTGTTCACGCCCGACTAAGACATCATTGGTCAAGTGGTGATCACGTGACGCACGAAGGAGGAGGAAAGATACCCGACCAAGACCTCATTGGCCGAGTGGTGATCACGTGACGCACGAAGAAGGCTGTCGACGCACCATCCAGAGTATAAGTATGAGAAGCTGCTACGAAGAAGTGGGGAGGGCAGTTCACGCCCCTCAGAAGTATGGTGAGAAAGTGGGAGTGAGGAAAGGTTCCCAACAATGGAAAAGAGTGGAAAATTCCTAACCAGAAATAAAAGAGGTGGATATGTATTTACAATTATCGAGGAACCCCCCGACGCCAACAGACCCACCCCGGTTTTGGTCGGCGTCAATAAAAGCGAGGCCCCAACAGGCAGAAATCAGTTTGGGCTCCAGCAGAGAGTTGAGTTTCCAGAGTTGAAGCCGCATCGAGATAGCTGACCAAGATTCACGCAAATTTAGGACTCCTCTTCAACCCAAAAACAATTATTTTGAAGAGCGACTTAGAACCAGACCACCGAAATAAGTCTTTTCGACTTTCGTCGAAAGACACACCGAAACACCAATTTCTTAGAGAGCAAACAACTTGAAGCGTTAAAACTTGCCTAACGGAAATCGACGTGTCACAATCCACAGAACGGGTCGGGGGATAGATGCAGTCCTATGTATCGAACAACTAGACATAAAGTTTGTTACCTTTTTCTTTGATACTTTGAACTTTTTGAGTTTTCATTTTATTTTATTTTATGCATATTTGTGTAGTATCACCACCGTTGAACTCAGTTTGTATTACGGCCCCAAACACTGTTTGATCTCGTCTGCCTAAGATCAATCCACAACGTGGGTAGGCGGACTGGGGATCAATGCAGTTACCTTGGTAACCAGGCGTTGGAAGCGAGTTGGGAACGACGAGGCTGATATCAAATCTAACCAGATTCCCACCCGAATCACCAAGAGGTTAGAACGTCACATTTGGGTGCCGCGACCGATACCAAGCCAGTTGGTCGTCACCGGACGAGACAACACGACTGACGCGACAGGCGGACGTCACGTTTGGAGCAGCGACACCCGAACGGAGCAGCGAGGAGCGAACAGCTGGCGTCGCGGCGAGGACGTCACAATTGGTGCTGTTTGGGGACGTCACAACTGGTGCCGTGGTAGATCAGGATATAACGTCACAGTCGGCGCTGCGACCGGGGGACGACGTCACATATATATATATGAAGAAATATAGTTTTAAGGCGTGCTATATTTATGGGATAAAGTGCTCAATATCAGAGATAGTGCGTATGTAAATATAAATAGGAAAATGAACATTGAAGTCAACACTCAGAGGCGACAGGTTGTTTCATGCTGGACGCAATCCTCAGGCTGCAAATGCTGGATGTTTCCTTGGCTATTTATATATATGCCTCAGTGGTGCATTGTAGGTAATCAATTCTGGCGGTTATTTGCGGGAGTGGTTTGTTTGCTTATTTATTTATTTATTTGTTTGGTTTAATTTATTTTACTTGTGTTTCATTTTCATTTTGCATTATTTATTCTTTTTCGTTTTTTTGTTTGTTTTGTTTTGTTTTGTTTTGTTTTTATGTTTTATTAACGTAGTAAAAATTTTGAGGCGATTCGCTTAGGTCTCTTATTTAATAGTTTGTTTTGGTCTGGGAAGATAATTAAAGCTATTTATTCGTCCAATGTTTAGATTGCTTGCCTTAGTCTATTCTGTTATTTTGGCGGGTGGACAGTTTTTAATTTATTTATTTGGATTGGTTATTTTTTCTTCTTTTTGCTTATTTATGATTATTTTTATTAGTTCTAACGGTTATTTTAGCGGGGGCGATTTGTTAATTTGTTCATTTATTGATTTATCTGGATTAATTTTTATTAGTTTTTTTTATTTTTTATTTTGTATATATTTATTTATTCTATTTGGTTTTCGAATTTTTGAGTGACGTAGTGATGATTTTTTATCGATATAGCAGTTATAGCTATATTTTCGTCCAATTTTAGGATTAATAAACAAACAAGCCACTCCCGCAAAATAACCGCCAGAATAGATTACCTACAATGCACCACTCCCCCATATATATAAATAGCCGAGGAAATGCCCAGCAGCCTGACGATTGCGTCGAGCATGAAACAGCCTGTCACCTCTGAGTGTTGACTTCAATGTTCACTTTTATATATATATATATATATTACCATAAATAATTTGATTTGTCAGTTATATTTTTAAAAAGTTCTTCTTTGAGGATATTGGCCAACATAGCTCTTCGTAGAAGTCCATTTAATATTTACTAATTAACATGATTTCTTTGGAAAAATAGTGACCTGCTTTGCTCTTATAGTCTCCATTTCTTTCTATCGAAGGCAAGAGAGCCAAGTCTACCCTACTATTTAATGAAGAGCTGGGAGGTTATCCGATGGGTTTTTACTTTTTCCAAGGACATCAGTGTGAAGTGAGCACAACAGACTTGGTTGAATTTGAAACCGGCTCTCTGGTTCCACTTCGCAAAACAATGAGCGTTACGCTACCCACACATCTTTATTTTTTTTTTAACATTTCAAACCAAGCAAGCTAATAAAGCCACTAAGACACTAGGTCTTACTTAGAGGGAAAGAATATGAGAAAAACATTATTGAGGAGAGAGGACAATAAAAGAACAGGAATTAAGAAGACAGAAGATGACGATTGACGCTGCATATAAATTTTTAGATATCGTTGTTAACAGGAAAGCAAGAAGCCGGAAAGATTTCCACAAGGAAGAAGTGCGAGAGAAGAAACTATTAGCATAGAACTTACGGTTACATCTAGCAATTTTAACAGTAAAATGATGAGACCTAATTGCCAATCTAGTACTGCAATTAAATTCGTGACATCGATATATCAAAGAAGAAAGCTCATCAAAACAATTACTGTGAAAATATTTATAGAAAAAGCGCATGAAAACTATAGAAAGTTGGTTTCACTGTGTCGTGCCAGAAGATATTTCTCGCCAGAGTGCATCTTACACATCTACAAATCTATCATTCGTCCGTGCATTGAGTACTATTGTCATATCTCGTCTGGTGCACCTGCTTTTCATCTTGAGGTTCTCGACAAAATCCAAAGAAGGATCTGCAATGATCCTGACCTGGCATCTCGACTCCAGCCACTTTCACACAGACGTGATGTGGCTTCCCTCTGTCTTTTTTACAAATATTTTCATGGCAACTGTTCTGACGAGCTTTTTTTTCACTGGTGTCCCGACTACATAAATTTAAGCGTGCAACTAGATTGGCATGTAGGTCCCACCCTTTTACTGTTGAAATAGTTAAATATAACCGCCAATTTTACTCCAACAGTTTCGTTTCTCGCACCTCCCGACAATAGAACTCCCTTCCATTTACTTGCTTCCCTGAAAACTACAATCTTCAAAAATGTAAATGCAACGTCAATCGCCATGTATTGCCTTGATCCCTGTCCTTTTTTTCTTTTCCTCTATCCCCACCACTACACTCACTCTTTCACTCTCCGTAACCCCCTGCGTGCTAGGGGTATTCCTGGCTTGATTGGAGTGAAATGCTTATAAAACGTTAGGAGTATAGAGCTGAAGCAGACTTTAGAAGGACCCGGAAATGCAATCCCAAAAAGCAATCCTAAACAGAAAAAAAGGGATAAACCTCTAATCCTGTTCA